ACCCCATTAGCATTAAAATTCAGTCTTTATATTCGCTCGCGCTGGCGTCTTGGCCCTTCCAGTTGCATTGGACTTTACCAGTACCTACATTGATGAAACAGTTTCTCTATGCTGGAAGGAAATCTCGCGCAACATGTGGTACTATTCTGTGATAAAGCGTTTTACCCTGAACTTTAGCGCTACATTCGCGCAATTTTTGTGCACGTGATGGATCGTTTGGTTGGCATTCCGATGCCTCGAAGGAGCAAAGTGACCCCGATGGGGGTGAGTTTCGAATAACAGTCATATATCGCTTAGGACTTGCCAATAATCTGGATGTCATCAAAGAAGCGAGAAAGCGCTTTCATGCCTATACTGGTGGTGATCTCTCTGCTCTTTCAGCTGATCTCCGTAGCTCTGTGTTTGATATCAAGGAAACATTCGGTGAAGCTGGCAATGCCAAGTTGTTGCACGATTTATACAACAAAAGCGATTTCGCTGGGAAAGGGAGCGATTGTCTTGGTGCCATGGGCTTAGTGTCGAGATTATCTGCTATTGGATTGGGCCGTAGAAAATGTGCGATCTCAGGATTTTCACTATCTGTTTCGCAGTGTGGCGAACGATAAGCCGACAGATTGCTTGACAGTATTGACAAGACAAGTGGGACTTTTTGTCGAACAAGTTCTCGGCGATGACATTGGGCTACATGTATGTGGTGTCATTTCTGAATTTCAAAGTGAATCAATGGCTGTAGAGGTCGAGGCTTTTATGGTGGGCAATAATACGTTGAGATACAAGCGTCGCCTCGAAGAAGCGCTCGAGGGTATGCGCTCAAAAGTGCTGTTTGCTGTCGCGACCGTGAATCTCTGGCCATGTGGCTAAAGGAACGAGCTGTTTGAATTCACGGAGCGGTCCCACCAAACATCATACACATTTACATGTGCTATATCTTGTTGTTCCTGATGATCATAGTGGACTGTGTGTGGACTATGATAGGGTTTAGTACTCGAATTCACTAGATATTAAGCAGGACAAAAGAAATGTCTGAACGTTGGCGGACTTGTTCATGACATTGTGTGTGGTAAATTTGTTAGTATCCAGCTTAAATGGCATTTACAACCCTCTAGGACTGCTTCAATTCCAATGTTTGCTTCACGGGTGCGCTTGAAGTTCTTGTCCGCTCGACAAGGCTTGCGGACTATGTACAGGAGTTACAGACTTTCATCGCCGCAATGGCATCTGACCATCTCCCGGGGACGGTCCTGCTGTCAAAATCAGTGCAGTTAA